CAGCGGGAGTTCTCAGGGCCTGCAGATCCAAGATATGCCGTCGATCCGATACTTGGAGTCGGGTTAACCCGTTTGATTGGTCAGGTCAGGACTCAGATGGAGAGGATGAGAGGCGATGCGATTGGATTGGAGGGTCGTGTTCTAGCCAAATCTGTTTTTGGTGCCCCCACTTTTCGGATTCAATTCAGTGACCGGGCTCGCGCTGGCCAAAATTTCCGAGCCATATCAAATTTTATGAATATTTCACTTTCCAAGTCACTTTAGAAACCGCGAACCACCATTTTCCTAGCGAAAAAACAAACAAATATTACTTTTAGGGGGGAAGTCTTATGTCAATTTTTCTTATGTTTTACTCTCCTTTTGACACGTTTCACATAAATTTAAATTTTTATTGCGACTTCAACCCAAAATAAAAATAAAAATTTGCGACCATTTTTGGGAAATACATTTTTTTTTTATAAAAGAGCAATAGTATTTTAGTGATAAAATAAACAAAAAAAATACAAAACAACTAAAGTGCTGAATACGGATACAACTTCTCTGGTGACTAAATGTAACAATAAGTTGAATTAATCTAAAGAGAATATGCACAACCCAAAAAATGATTAAAATTCCTAAATCAGCTACCATAACCACATGTACTTAAGCCTATAGTAAAGATTTGTTTGGCAACGACAAAAGCAAAAAATCCGTATCAAAAGCCAAAAGTCAAAAGGAAATAAAATATCATAAACAAAAAACAAACCACATCAAACTCCAAAAGAGTTCATGATAATTATTAAACTGAAACAAACTAAGAAACAAGATCAACGCTTCGCATCCTCTCGAGCAATCCTAAGAGAGCTATAGCGTCATACCAGCTAAACTCATAGTGTCGCACTAGCTAAACTCGAACCCGATTCAATTTGATATCATCCTTGCATCATAGCTCCAAATCTATATCGAAGGTTGACAACTGGAGCCAAATCATTGCATACGTGAGTCAAAAGACAATAACTATATCGTAGTGATGACGATTGCTTTTACATCACAAAACAAAAACACAAAAAAATCTAAAGGGAAAATGAAGAGAACGAGAGGAAAGGGGATGATAGGAGAATAAAGGGGATGGAGTTAGGAGGTGGCGACTAAGGATTGTTGTTTAGGGTTTTCTCATAGAACAACGAGTAAAGTACAATTGAATGCATGTTAGTAGTAGTGAAAAAACACAAGCTGCCCAAAATTACAGATCTCATTTATGTACTTACTCATTTTTCATTTTGGTAATTTTAGTTATATAATGTTGTTTATGAAGCAATCAAGTTCTACAACTATAAATTTGTTAAAAGAACGAACAAAATGATACATTCGGAGTTTATTTGCAGATGCTTTAAAGAGACAAAAGTGGTCTCATATATAGTAGTTGCATATTGTCACTTCAAAATACATTAATTAACTAGACGGAGTTTACAAGTTTGAATCCAAGCCAATCTAGATTACAATACTAAAATGGATAAAATTAAAATTGTAGTAGTGACTAAAATGAAAAATAAGTCAAAATACAAGGACAAACACACATAACTCCTCCACGCATGTTTAGTACGGGTGTTTAAGATCCAATCTTAACTCAACCAAATGAACCGGATTGAGTTGGATCTCTAAATTTCAAAATATAAATGATTGGATCAGATGTTGAATTTGCATGTGAAAATCCAATTCTAATATTCTAGAAAATATAAAAGTGGAAAAAAAAGAAAAAAAAAAAAAAAGACTGTGAATTGGGAATTTGCCACTAACATAAAGCCCTAACTCCTTATAAGAAATTAGAAAATAACAATAAGTAAAGCCCTAAGAAGGAGAGCCTAAGAAGGGGTAGGAGTAATTGAAACCGAGTTCAATACCGTGGTGCCGCCGACGGCAAATCTACTCTCATACGAATTAAGATCCTCCCAACTATTACAAAACTCGGAAACCCTAACCCAGCATCCCAAGGGCTCCGATTTCTCGCTGTCTTTCTGTTTCTCTGTTACCCTCACACTAAAGCAGTGTCCTTTTGCAGTTCACTCATGGCCGAAACTAAGAACCTAGGCGAACCCACATTTCCCGTGAAGCGTAAACCCGATCTCAGCTGCGAGGACCAGGCCGACTACCCTAAGAAAACCCATAAGCTTGAAGTTTCTGATATTAGTTCGTCGCTTGCTGAAGGAAAAACTCAAGACCCAGAAAATTTCGACCAGAATTCCTCTGTGGCCGAAGAGAAAAACGATAAATTTGAAGCCAATGCAGACCCTGAAGACGAAGAAGATTTCGTAGAAGACGACGACGAAGATGAAGACGGTGAAAAGTCTAATGGGAAGGCTGAGGTGGATCGCAAGGGAAAGGGGATTATGAGAGATGACAAGGGCAAAGGGAAACTGATAGAAGAAGATGACGATGACAGTGACGATGATTCAAGCGATGGTGGTAGCGAATTCGAAGATGGCGATAGTGATTTATCGGATGATCCTCTTGCGGAGGTCGATTTGGATAACATTCTTCCTTCGAGGACTCGGAGACGGCAGGTTCAGCCTGGGGTTTACATGGCTAATGATATTGGAAACGACGAAGAAGATGATAGTGATGACAGCGATGCTCTGAGTTGAGGAAGGTCAGTAAAACCAAAATTAGCAAAGCTTGACATTATGTTTCGGAGATAGTATTAGTGCTTTGATGAGGTTATGCTAATTAGTTGCTATTTGAGAACACAATGCGGCTAAGGCTGTGAATACTTGATGTAACTCAATCTAAGTATCTTCCTTCCTTATTGGATCCTATCATTCTGTAGGTGTTTTCTTCCCTTCAGTTTATTTTTGTTCGATTTCAAAGTGTGTGAATATGTAGTTTTTTATCGTTTTAATGATCATCGCAGAGTAGATGGCTTGTAAGGTAGGAATATCAGTTTAACTACAGAGTGGACCATGGACATGCAAAACTTTGGCTTGTAAATTTTAAAACCACGAGACTGAAAGTGGGTGATACTTGATCAAAACTCAGTGGGATTTGTTGCTAGGAATAGGTAGACAACAATTTGAGAGCTTACGTAGAGAAAGGGAATCCCTTCCAGTGACTAGACTAAGCATAAATCTGTCACCCTTTCTGAAGTTTTACTGGCATCTCCTTAAGTCCCTGCGGGATGTCCTGATGGTAATTATTCCAATTACCACAGCCCTAGTCAGGTTCAAACCAGGACTGTCTTGCTTAAGAGTTCGCCTTAGCTAAAACTAGTGAGGTAGCCCCAAGGAAGGAAGAAGAAGAGTCAGCAACCCATAGTAGTTGGGGGAAAAAGTGATTTATTAAAAGGCATTTTTGCATGACCTCTTTGAAAAACAACACTTGCTTCTGCCAAACCAACAGTTGTGACCCAAGGTTACTAGGTATGATGCTTAGACGCAGGTTACTTCCACATTCTTATTAAAATCACTTCATAATGGCTTTGTTAACCCTAATTTGATTGAGTAACTGTGTTGGTGTGCTTTGAGTTTCCTTGGAGAGGTATGATGGCATTAAGATGTTGAAAACTGTGATGTTTCTTACCTGCATGGAATGATAGTGTGTCCTTTTTGCTCTTGCATATTCTATTATTAGTATTTGTGAGATGAAAGTTTGAACTCAGATTTCTAGGTGAGTGACTAGGAATTCTATGATATGGTTAGATATCAAGATGGTCCGTTAACCTTCTATTCATGTGATGTGGTACAAGGCCAAATTGCATCGTAATTCTGAAACTATCTCCATTCAAGTGAATAATTTGTCACAGGTTGTCCTGCTCCTTTCCATTGCATGAAAAGACCATTACTTGGAATGGTCCAACGGAGCACAGAGGGATGATTTTAATCTGATCCCAACCTGTACCATATTTTTATTTAAATCTACTCTCATATTTCAATTTTAGTGAGGCCAAATCTCTGTCTTGCTCATGTCTGTAGATTACGAATTGTGTTGACTATCTGGCCTGTCCGGATCTAAAAGACTCGAAATATTATGCATTGGCTATAGCCTAGACCTAGTCTTTGCATAAGGTAATTTTAGTCCTATCTGCAAGCCTGGTGATTGCTTTGCTAGGTTGAACCATTTCTATTCTGTCATACTGGAGGTCAAGGATTATGGTTCCATTGTTTGTTACGTATTGTAGTTAGACTTTATGAGCATTGTCCCATATAAGTGGTGCCATCTGGAGACGGGTTGTCACAAGAGCATCTACAATCATGCTCTCTATTTTGTAGTTAAAATTTAGCTAAAAACACACAAAAGTTATTTTAGGAGCTCTCTATCAAATTTCAACTTCAATCATACTCGCTAGTTAAGGGAGTCATAAATGCTAGAATTATATTTTAATTCAACATAAATGGTCCGTCTCTATGAAAAAATAATATAAAAATAGACAATATTGATTAAAGGTTTTTAAATATTCATTAAATAGGGTAGCATTAAATTATAGAAGGCCACTAGGAGTTCATTCTCTCTCATCAGATTTAAGAGCTCCTAGAGGTCTCCCCTATTTTCGGAGCTAGATAGGGAGCATAGTTGGATGTGGGTTTTCTTACTTCCTCCCTAAATTTTATATAAGGAGGTGGTTTAGGGAGCCCATTGTGGATGCTCTTACCTGCAATGCAAGTTTGGCATTCCTATGTTAGTCAGAGTCATTTTCAATCTTATGACAAGTTGGTCGTATAATGTTTCTGTATTTCTTCTCCCCTTGTGTTGGGTGACTTTACATGGGTAACTGGAGAAATTGTCTAAGATTTTACTGGTATGCACCATATTTGTGAAGTTCTGAGGTGCAAGTATACGGTCTATGATGCTGCTGCTGCTGCTTCATCTTCGATCTATGCATGTGGAGTTTCCTTTTTTTCTTTTAAAATTTAATTTTGGTCCTCTACTATTAAAAGAAACCAAGTGCAATCCATTCTTTCTAAAAAGAGAAAAAAGGAAGTAGACTTGGGTCTATAGAGATAACAGGCCCATGGTCCATAATCAGTTGGGCCTGCACTGCACTCTTATTCATTGTCCGAATACTTCAATACAAATTTATAAATAAACCCAATCCTAGACATGTATTTATAAAAAAACTCAAGCATTATTTAAACATAGAAACACACTCAAAATCAACCCCAAAGTCAATTTTTTGGGTGTGTTTATAAATGGGTTTTGAGTGTGTATAATGATGGGTTTTGGGTGTGTTTATATGTTTAAATAGTGCTTGGGTTTTTTTATAATTTCAATCCCCATTTTGGGTGTTTTAGTGAAACTCCCATAATTCAATCCAATCCCCAATTTGGACACACTTTTAGTTCCACTTCCATTTAAATTAGGATGATTCAATAAAGTTTGGCATCTTGCTTTATTATAAGCCTTTATTTGGTATGTTCATGTTGGGAGGGAAGGGAGGAGAAGTTCAAGCATGCATACACTACAACTACAGATACAGCACTTGGATTTTGGTTTTGGCCCATAAGTTGGCATCGTTTCTTCGCTCTTGTTGTGGACGGAGGAGAACTGAAAAAGGCAAAAAGCAAAAGTCTGATCTAATGATGCTCGCTGGCAGCAGTTGGCACCCGATGCCACAAAAATTATAATGCTCCCTGAAAACCTCAGCCCATGTATGTATGTACGTACTTCTTCTACTGCTAGTAGTAGTCGTACTGCACAGCACAGCACTGTTGCTTTGCTTTTATGCTTTTATGCTTTTATAAACAGCTAAAAGCCAGCCTCAACGCCAAGATCACATGCATCGCATTCGCAACTAGATATAAGCTTCAATTGGTTACGTTAAATTATGGTGGTTTTTTAAAAAAAAACAAGGGCATATGCATCGCCTATACTAATGTAGGGATCCAAGAATAATCTACACAAATACCATCCATCTGCTTTTGTAACTCATGACACGACACCATGAACTCCATAGATAGATTGCATCGCACTGCATTTGCAAACATTACCCCCCCTAGCTAGCTAGGTTTTGCTATTCTTCCTTTGTCGTCAAATAAGGTTAGGTGACGTCAGCCTAACAGTTATGTTATCATATGTGGTCCTTTTCCTCCAGCTTCCTTCTCTCACTTGGTCTCTCTTTCTCTCTCTCTCTCTCTCCCACATTTTCCTCTTCTTTCATCTTCACCCTCTCCTTGTCTTGTCTTGTTGTTATATGGCTTTTGGTTTTGGAGACCACGACCCATTGTCCTGTTGTATTTTGGATTCACTTACTAGCGAGCGAGGCACGAGGGTGAGGGGGGGACACTCACTTGTTGTTGGGGACCAGGTTTTAATTTTAGAGACAAAATATTATTCATGAACGACATGATCATCTTATATTCACATATATATGCTATGCTATGCTTGGCTTGGTTTGCCCTCATCTCGCTTTCAAGTTTGAACAAAAAACGCAGGAGGACCTGGACCACGGTTCCAATTCCATTCCCATTTCCATGCGTTATCATATCGCATGCCTTGTTCTTATATTAGAATCTAGCTAACCTCGTCCTCCCCTCTACCTCCCATTATTTTTTATTTTCTTGGGTACGTACCGAAATGTTATACAAAATACAATTGAGAAACCATGAAAATACGTACAACGCATGCATTTGGGTCCACCTATCTTATAGAAATAATCAAGTTTGTAATCTGTTCATTATCTGGGGGTGTCATTTCAAAGTTTGAATTAGGAGAAAAAAAGAAAAAGAAGATATAATTAATGTTAGGCCAAGTCTTAGCTAATAGCTAGTTTAGTAAGGTTGATGAAGATCACATTCACATGGCTGCAATTCTAGTTAATGATTGAAGGAGCATAGGAAGATGGAAACGATGATGACCTGCGTTAAAAAATATATATATAATTTTTGGTGGCTTTCACCTTCAATTATATTCTTCTCCTAGTCCTTGTAATTATATGAGAGTGGGGCTACAATTATATTTAATTATCACCCTTTTGGCCTAACCACTCCCTCGCTTTTGAATGCAAATTACGATCCTCTCATTGGATGACTGGAATTAAACGTCATGCCGTATTACGTATCATCAGTTTTAGATGTTCATCACCACCACCAGTACTAGTACTAATAGTACCGGGCTAATGCCTAGAAAGAAAAGAAACAATGCTTTCTGGTTTTCTACTACAGAGAGAGAGAGAGAGAGAGAGGGAGAAAAAGAAAGAGAAAAAGAAAAAGAAAAAGACAAAAACAAGCAATTCGCTTTATTTAGTTTAGGTAATATTAAAAGTCATGTAAGGCGGCCAAGTCCTCTAGCCTGCCTGCCTCACTCGCTCACTCACTCACTCGGCTTGTCCATATATGTATATTTGGTATTGCTAGAAAAACATTAATCGAATATTCTTTTTCTGTTTCTTTCTTTGTTTTCCTTCGCTTCATATCATATCATATCACCTCAACAAAACCAATCACACTGATTATTTTTTTAAAATCTTCTTATCAAAATTATTACTTGGGGTTATTACATACAGTGAGTGATACACTACAAGGAGATTCAAACATTTTGCCTCTGTCTGCCAATTTATATATCAAACTCATCAAACTAAAACCTAATTAGTAATGTACAGGTCATGCATGACTCTGAAATCAGCATGGCTTTGTTACGATGCTCATATCATATGGGCTTGTTTGTGTGGTCCACACACTACGACAACGACCAATACAATAGGCGTACGTGGCGGGCAATTACTTGCTCGGGGAAAGGATAAAAGGGTACCCCCCCACGCCCACCCCCTCACCCTCACCCTCACCCTCACATGGCCATATCGAAGCTCCTTTCTTGCCTATGGCTGCCTTGCCTAGCTT